CCCCCCAACAAGATGGATTGGCACAGTGGCCCCAGCAATAGGCTCAGGTGTAGCAACAATTGTAGGGTTGATCAAGGACCAGGCAGTGTTTTGTTATTTTGTGCATAGTGTCGACTTGATGCCACCTAACACCAACAACAATCACATTTAATACAAAGGGAGAACTTTCTCATTCTGATCAACATCCAACATTTTTAAAGAACTTAGATCAATATACTTTTTTTATTTGAAGATTTTATTTTTTAATTTACACTTGGTAATATTAAAAGGAGAAACATATTTCCCAATGCTTTGTATAATTGAGAATGATAATGAAATGCTAAAAATCTTCCTAAAACTCCAATTAACCTGAGATTTTTATCAAAAATCTTTCTGAAAATCCTGTTGTCCTGAGATGTTAATTCTTTAGAAGCCATTGAAACCAACATTTATTAGTGTTGCTGATATGCCATCGAAACCTTCTAGGTCTTTGTTATATGTTCATCTTTGATCGTTTTATTCTTAATATAGTATTAAGGAGCCCTTGTAGCGTAGTGGATTACAAACTGGACTGCTAACTGCAAGGTCAGCAGTTTGTATCTACCAGTCACTCCTCAGGAGAAAGATGAGGTTTTCTGCTTCCATAAAGATTAACAGGCTCACAACCCCTATACAGGGTTGCTGTGAGTTGGAACCGACTCGGTGGCATACAACCACCCCCACCAATATCAGGTTTAAGAAAGACAAGCTGTTGGTAAGCAAGTAGACACTAATACCTCTTCTATGTATCCTGCTCTACCTTAAAATCCTTATGGGACAAGAAGGACATCATTTTAGAATTCTAATAAACTCAAGTATCCTAATCTTAGCAAGAATGTTAAGGAGAGGAAATTAGCACTCTATTTTAAAAAACGTGTTTTGTTTTTCTTAAAAAGGTAATTTGTTGTTGTTAAGTCCTTTCAAGTTGGTTCTGACTCACAGTGCTCTTGTATAGAGTTTCTGAGATTTGTAAATCTTTGTGGGAGCAGAAAGCTGTATCTTTCTCCCCGACAGTGGCTTGTGGGCTCGAACTTCCGACCTTGTGGTTGCAGTCCAATGATTATTCTATGGAGCCACTATGCTCCTTACAAAGGTAATTTGTTGTTAAGTGCCATTGAGTCGGTTCCAACTAATAGCGTCCCTGTATAGGGTTTTCACAGAACAGCTGTTGAGTTTGAACTACCAAACTTGTGGTTCAAACTGACTTTGTGGTCCATTGCTTATCCTACAGCACCACACCGGGACTCTTCACAAAAATAATTGTAGCTCACAGAAAGTGTTTGAAGTAGGAAGTGGGGTTCCTATTTTGAAACATGCCTGTTATCTCCCATTTACAGTCTCTCTTGAACATCTTTCCATGTCAGCACATCTCTCTGACTCTTATTTTAAGCCTGCAAAAGATCTCACTGTATGCTGTATAATGGTTTATTTGACTAGCATTTACCTGACACACATCCAAATATATCTAGTTTTATGCTAATAGAGTGCTTCAGACAATGTCATTGAAATACCTATTTGTACTTGCATGATAGTTTCTACAGCTTGAATTCTTTGAAGTAGAATTGTGGTACATTGTAAACTATAATGTGTTGGTGTTGTTAAGTGCTGTCAAGTCAGCTCAGATTCATAGCAGCCCTAGGGTTTTCTAGGAGAAGCTGGTGGATTTGAACTTCCAACCTTTTTGTTAGAAGTCCAGTGCTTATCCCAGTGTCACATCAGGACTCCATACTAACTAGATAGCACTAGATTATGCTAGATAGCACTAAATTATGCTTTGAAAAGACATTAGATTACATTTTGACAAATGGTGTATAAAAACATCTTATCTTCCACGTCTTCATGAATACTATTAACAGCCTATAAATATTTGTCAATCTCTAGGTTAAAGATGATATCCTATTTTAAATGTGTATTTCTTTAATTAGTATTTGGCCTTTGAACTTCCTATTGATCTTCCATTTACGTTATTTTTTCTTATTCATGTCTAAGAATTTCTTATATGTTATGCAGAACATTGTTTATTCAGTGAAATGCATTGACCTTCTCCTTTGAATATTTCTGGGTTTATTTCCTCTCAGACAGCCTTTCCAAATACTGAGTCTCTACCCATGGTTCCCACTTCAAGGAGATAGTTTGCATCACATGTTTCTTTGAGGCATAGTAGTGGTTAGGATAATGACCTGATTCCATTCCCTTTGCTGAATAATGTTAAAATTCTTTAGGATTGGATTAATTGATAATATATTATTGTTAAGTCTTTTTTATAAATGTGAATTTTTATTGTAGATACAATTTTATAAAACTGGAAAACTTAACACCTGTATTGAAAAATATGAAATTAAGGTAAGTTTTTTAAAAGATAATTTTTTCAGATAACATATTTATTTTTTGCTTAGCTTCTATTTTTTTTTAGGTTCAGTTTTTTTTTGTTTGTTTGTTTTTAAAGTTTTTATTGTGAATTGAGTGAAAGTTTATAGGGCAGAGCATCAGTTTTACATTCAACAAATCATACACCTTTTTTCATTACAATGATTATAATCGCCTCCATGTACCATCAGATAACAGTATTTTTCTCTATTTGCTTTATCTCTCTTTTTTAAAACACTCAGGCATATATAATAATCTACACCACTAAAGGGCACCTTCTGCATGTCTGCCTCCTGGCCCCCAGCCCTTAGTCCCTTTCTTCCCATGAATCTAGAGTCCTCAGCTACTTCATCTCTCCATGTCCCCATCTCTACCTGCATCTATGGCATCTCTGCTTCTCTGAATAAGGTCCTGCATTTCACGTGTGCTCTTCTCCCTTGATGGTCCAAGGGTCCTTTGTTTATGGACTGTAAAATTAACTACTCCCCCATTTTTTGTTACAAAACTTCTACCTTTATAATTGTGACAGTCGCAATTAGTCATAACTATTACTCATTACTGAATCATAAGAATCTTACCCCATCTCTTTCAACCAGACTCATCTAGACAAGATGAAAACTATTCAGTGGGGACTCTTTCTTCCCCCACATACTCTTAAACTAAACTCCCTCTTGAAAACTTATAAGCCAGTCACTGCATGCCTCCATCACCCCTCATTTTAAGTAGCCAATGTCTAAGTTTCGCATCCCTATCTACCCTGTATATAGAGGGGATAGCATTGATACTTGATGTGAAGGCTCCTTCCATCTCTGTTGGTATTTAGAGTTACTACCTCCATGGGTATAGGTCAAGTCAGTTTTTATTTTCTCTAACTGAAATTCAGGATATGTGTCTCATAACTTATTATTGTGTATATAATATAACCCAGCAACTTTTTTACCCACATAGTTGTTTTGTGAGCATTTAGTAAAGGGAAAGACTTGGTTTTTGTTGGGTACTTTCTTAAAGACGTTTTATGTGGTGTAATCTCATTTATGGTAGATACCTTCAAAGGTGTGAGTTTTTCTACTTACAGATGAAAGAACTGCAATCTAGAGAGGTAAAATTATGGCGCACAGGATTGGGCTTTGCCTGATTGCTTGGAGTTCTTCAGGTGTGGGCAAAGAGATGGCCTGTCTTACTAACTTCTTTTGCACCTGGGTCTACTCTGCATCACTCCTGTGGAATGAACACACCAGAAAGAACTGATTCAAGCATGAAATGTATGCAACTTGTTGTACCATGACTATTACAGTCCTTCCTCTCTTACCCAGGAGTGTTTTCTACTGGCATCCCTGAAACTGGCAGGCTACCTGAGCTCTCACACAGCATTAGTTCTTGGTGCAACTCTATGCTCTCTAGGATGCAGCCCAGAAAGCTCTAGTTTAAGTTAGCATCCTTGCTCTCCTGGCTCAGTCTCCTCAACCTGGGGAGACCACAGGGCTCCTGGGCCCGTTTACTTCCCCACAGTCTAGAAACCCTCTCTGTAGTGCAAAGCTGGAGTATCACAAGGTTCCTTTTGTTTCCTGTTATATAGGGATCACTCTCTGTTGCCTTTGGCCCAGAGTCTTGTGAGTCCTCTCCCATGATTTGTCTAGATTTTAGACATTTCAGATGGAAGGATAAATCTACTACTTGTTTTTTTTCCAAAGCTTTTTATTATGAATTGGGTGACAGTTTTCAGAGCAAATTAGTTGTTTCCATTCCTCTGTCTTTCCTAACCCCCTGAACTTTGCTCTTGAGTAAATACTGCCCTTTTGACCTTGATAATTGATGTGAAGGTTACCTTCCCTCTCTGTTGGTATTTTGAGCTACTACCTCCATGATAGCAATTTACCCATGTTTCCTTTATCAAAAATTGTTTTCTTTTTTATCTTCCTCTAGTCGAGTTCTGATTATCAAGCCATTGAGTCTATGTCAAATGGGTACTATCTGCAAGTTTGGGTGTTCTTGTGTGTCTCCCCTCACTTCATATCATCTGGATGCTTCACTCTCAGCTCTAGCCTTCTGTGGCTATGTCTTTGTCCATGGGCTCAAGTGTCCCCATGTCTTACCACACTTTGAACCAACCAGCCCTTCCTCTTCTCTCTCTCATCTCCAGGTCAACAGAGTCTGTGGAATGTGGTTGAATCAGCCCATTTTGTCATTGCTGCCTTTCTCCTTCTTCCACTCACTAGTAGACCAATATGGTCACCAGCAAGCTTGAATGCCTGGCTGAGCTATATTTTTAACATGACAGCTTGCAAATGCTCCTAGAATTCTTGATCCAGATTAGAGAGTTCTCTGTGTATAAATGAAACTTTGTCAGCAAAGGACAAAAGTGGAGGGGGAGAGGAAATGAATTGAACTCAGCCCATTTCATCATTGCTGCCTTTCCCCCTCGTCTTCTCACCAATAGACCAACATGATCATTAGGAAGCTTACAGGCCTGCTCATATGTTCCCTTTGCGTTTCAGTCTTGGAGAGGGGTTTGTATGAACTGTTCTTAACCAGTTAGTCTTGCTGTCCCCAAGATCATGATCCATAGCTCCCAGGTCCAATGGCTCATTCCTTCAAGGTGTTATGCTATATCTAAGAAGTTATCGTAACTTTGTCCCTTGTATGCTTTTTCACATTCATGGACATTTTTGCAGCATAGGTAAATAAATACACATGTATAAATATCCTCTGTCAAACTTACATATATTTGTGATACTCCTCCTCACACTCCCACACCCTTTCAATCTGTATGTCTATCCATGCATGTGCTTATAGATCACGATTATTGCAGGACTGTGTATGTAACAGTATTTATCTCTTACATGCCACCCAGTGTCTTCACCTACCTCCATTGTTTATTGCTGACCTCCCTCTTACTATATATTTCCTTCCCCTACCCCCAAGTTAACATATGTCTACCCTCTAGCCAGTTGTTTGCCCTCCCTCCCGTTCCCACCCCTGGTAGCCATCAAATAATGTTTCTTTTAGTATGAATTTTTTTTGTTGTTTGTTTACTTTTTACAATTGTGGCCTCATACAATATCTGTCCTTTTGTGACTGATTAATTAAACGCATCATAATGTCCTCTAGGTTCATCCATGTTATGAGGTGTTTCGCAGATTTATCATTATTCTTTCATGTTACATAGTGTTCCATTGTGTGTATGTACTAAAGTTTATCTGTTTTGCCGTGGATGGGCATTTAGATTATCTCCATCTTTGTGCTATTTATTGTGTGTGAACAGTACTACGATGAGCATTGGTGTATCGCAACTCTTTTTTCTCTAGGATATATTTGTGTATACCAAGTAGAGGGGTTTCTGGGTCCCATTACTATTTTCCAATTTTTCAGGAAGCGCTAGATCATTGTCTACAGTGGTTGAACCATTTTAAAGTACCGCTAGCAGTGTGTGAAGGTTCCAGTCTCTCTACACCTCACCAGCATTTGTTATTATTATTATTTTAAATTTTGTTATTATTGCTGGGGTGAAATGATATCTCAGTATTGTTTTGATTTGCATTTCTGAAATGGGTAATAATTGTGAGCATTTCTTGATATGTTTGTTGGCTGCCTTCTTTAGTGAATGGATATATTTATTTGAAAGTAAATATGATCTTCTTTAGTGAAGTGTCTGTTCATGTCTTCTGCTGACAGTTTAATTGGGTTAGTTTCCTTTTTCTTGTTGAAGATTTAAAAATTTTTATAGATTAGTCCTTTATCCAGTATATTATTTGCCAAAAAATGTTCCTCTACCTATGAGTTAGTTATCTTTTAACTCTTTTGGTGAAATCTTTTGATGTAATTTGTGTCTAATTTTTAAGGGGTCCTAATCATTTTATTTTCTGCTGTTTGTATGGTCTTAGTTATGTTTGATAGTATACTTGTGCCATGCATTTAGGGTCTCTAAGTTTGTCCCTCGTCTGTCAGTTGTGATTTGCATGTTGCTGAGATGCTGGAATCTATGCCACCAGTATTTAAACACCAGCAAGAGCATCCATCGTGGACAGGTTTTATCAGAGCTTCCTGACTAAGACAGACTAGGAAGATGGAGAGGCAGACCGCTTCTGAATAGTTATTCACTGAAACACAAATAGCAGAACATTGTCAGATATAGTACTAGAAGATGAACCCCTCTGGTTGGGCTTAAAATCCAACTGGGGATGAGCTGCCTCTTCAAAGTCGAGTTGACCATAATGACATTAATGGGGAGCAAAGTTTTTGGGACCTTCATTTACTGAACTCAGAAGAGCAACTCAAAAAGCAGAGAAACAGCTATGAACATCCATTAGTAATGAAAACATGTATCTAGGAAAATGAGAAGCTGCTAAAAATGTAATGGGATGCATAAAGATCCATATCCTAGGTGTTAGCTGAAATGGACTGAAACTGGCCATTTTGAACCAGACAATCAAGTTGCTTATTATCCCAGGAATGACAAAGTGAAATGGTACAGCATTCATCATCAAAGAGAACATTTCAAGATCCATCTTGAAGTATGATCCTGTCTGTGATAGGATAATATCCATATGCTTACAAGCTAGACCAGTTAATATCACTATTATTCAAATTTGTACACCATTAAAACCAGTAATGATGAAATTAAAGAATCCTACCACCTTTTTTCAGTTTGGAATTAATCAAACATGCAATCAAAATACTTTAATAATTATTGGTGTTTGGATGGTGAAGGTTGGAAACAATGAGGAAGGAATGGTCAGTGGTTGCAAAGTATGGCCTTGGTAATAGAAATGATGCTGGACATTGCATGATAGAAATTTGCAAGACCAACAATGTATTCATTGAAAACACCATTTTTAAACAATATGAAAGGCACCTATACACATGGACCTTACCAAATGGAATACATAGGAATCAAATTGACTATATCTGTGAGAAAAGATGGTAGAAAAGCTCAATATCTTCAGACAACACAAAACCAGGGACAGACTGAAACAGAC